TTACTGAATTTCAGCGACAAGAGAAAGGTCGCAAGCTATCTATTATTGGTTGAACAGTTCGAATTCAAGATGCGTGGCGACATATAACTCAGAAAAAATTTGAACTTGTGGAATTGTTGTAAATATGTTACCAGAAAAATCATTTTCTGGTATAAAATATGAATTACGTTGACCCTCAAGCAGTCTATCTCATTTTCAATTTCCGATTTCTAGATCTACGGCTCAACTAAACTTTCGTGTTTCTCAATGCCGGCATTTGACAGTTTTTCATCGTTGATTGGCTAAGCTAATTGAATCCTTGAAAAATTGAAGTGCTCCGGTAGCAGGGCCTTTTTTTAAGAATTCGTCAGCGGGGGTCATCTACAGAAAATGGACCATACTATTCTGTGTGTGAAGAGATGAAGCCTGTTTTACTGACGTCAAATTTAATTCAGATGCAGAATTTAATTCGTTATTAAATTCGTCAATATTGCTCGACATTAGAATGGTTTCGTTTCAAACGACGAATTTAACTATTCAGACGAATTCATTTCATGACTAGCGATCATGGATTACCCAGAAATAAAAAACACGAGATCAGAAAGAGAGAAACTGACTTTACTGATAATTTATGCATTTAATTCGACACGACGGTAAGTCTAAGACGTCGTATGAAACGAAGACGCGCTACAGACTGAGACGGTGTATCCGCGTCTGACCATAACGAATTTAATTCATCAGACGACTTTAATTCGTTTCATACGATGTACTACCGACGCATGTAATTCGTTCAATTAAAAATTGTCGACGATAGTCCGACGTATGAAACAGGCCAAGGCCTGTCAGTTGGTTGTTGGTGACAAGAGCTTTAGTGTGGTGTTGTATGTAACTGATTAGGGGGTACGTCTGGGGGGCATTCTCCCCCAGAACATTTTCATATTTCTCCGCCCCTAGGACTGCATTTCGTCTGTTTTCTGAAACAGATTTTTGGATATACGGCGTTAAATTATACTGTAGATAGATCGAATCTTCAGTTAAGCATTTGCATGGTATGTTTATGTGAATACTGGCCACAACTCGATCACTAACCTGTTTAGCCTAGCCTTCCAACAACTCAAATCTATAAAATCCGGGATATGCTATCCACTGGAAAATTTTTAAAATCTGAGGTGCAATGTTTGGCTTTTTTAAAATGATATTGAATCATTTAATGATAAAAGACATCACATAAGATTCACAAAACAAGGTTCAGTTACTAGTGAATGCGAAACATCTCTTCTAAATTCCATACCCCCCCCCCAAAAAAAATAATTTTTTTCTTCATATAGAGAAAAGGGACTGATTTGGAGGGGCAAAACTAGTTGACCGGGGGGCACCATGGGATCTGGGGGGCTTTGCCCTCCCAGTTATATAGTTAAAAAAGGCTCTGATTATTTGCGACTGTCCACCTTTAGCTAGATGTAAACGACTGTATTTGAACTCCACTGATCTATATCACACTGGAATACTTGCATACTAATTTCCACTCGGTGTATTAATTTCTCAAGATTAAATACCTCACGAGAAATAAACGAATCTGATTGGCTAACGAGCCGACGCTATGACGAAGCTATCATCAAAGAACGCCCAAATACATTCCTTGTTTGAAAATTTGTAAACGAACATTCGCCTCGTAATAACAACATCACAAACAAGGATTTACCTTTATATTTGACTTGTTTGGAATAAAGAGGTAAGAAGCAGTGTCCAGACTGCTGTGTAACGGTCCTAGAAGGTTTTCGTCAAGGGGAGAAGTGTTTTATAGGTTGCTAAACGAACAAGTGGCTTTTAATATATAAACACTTTGTGGCTTTAAAACACAAGGCACAGAATGCCCGTCCGCGGCGGTGGCGATGATATTAGAGTTCACGAAGTACGAGCCGAACAGAGGGACCCACCTCCGGGTTACAGAAGACGGAAAGAACCCAGTTCACAAAGTTTTGAGCAAGGACCTGCTTATCCTGACGAAGAGAGAGGTTTTCCACGAGCAAGTGAGCCGTACACCGCTTACAAAGTGAGTTGAAAATATCACGAATGTTTAATCCTATCTCCTGAAAGCAATATATCTTATCTCTATATTAAAACACTTCGAAGACATTCTTGTGAAAACTGATGTTCACTTTAAAATGTCAATTATAAACCCAAGGCAGAGTTATTTGTTGATTTCCGAGGTTGTCGATTTCAAAAGGAAGCGAGATGTAAATTTCACAGTAGGCATACTTGAAAAACATCCTTGCACAAGTTCCCCGTGTTTTCTCTGCTTAAAGTCGGCTTGGTTTTTGCAAAAAGCTTTAAGACATTATGTATATTGTCTAAAATGCCTGTGAACTGCCTGTATTCTATGTTTTATGAAGGGTTTTATCGCGTGCATTGCATGTAAATAACTATGATGTTGCTCATCGATAATGAGCCAAATTAATACAACAACGAATATCTCACTCAAACATATTCAGATTTAGCAAATTCCGTTCTTAATTAATTTCGTGTTATTATTCTCATGGAGAACAATACTCTTGCAGTATGGATGTCGTTTTCTTGTGTAATGAATAATTTCCCCCTAAAACAAATTATTTTTGCCTCTGACTACAAGCGGTGCGATGGCTGTTACAATTTGTTTAAGAATTAGTGATTTATTAATTATTGTTTTGAAGGTTTAAAGTTGTTCTTTTGCAAAGCAATTTATCCCCACTAACCACAAACAATAGTCAGGTTAAGGCTTAGTATTGTGACTCAACAATATCACACAGTTCCTCTGTGTATAAATGGCTAAATGTATAAAGTGTAAAAGCGATTTAGGTTCTATTAAATTTGGATATTGGAATTTGGAATCAAAGTTGATTATGGAATATTTATATTTGATACATTTCATACATTTTCCCAATTAGAATAGCTAATTTTGTTCTAAAATCTCAAAAAGCCTCTTTTTATACTGTAACGACTTGGACAATTTCATTCTACTAATTCATTTTAAATTCCATCCAACAGTTGACAGTTTGTGGAATTAGTAAAACGATATCTTTAATACTTTTCTGGTTCTAGCGTATTCTAGATTATGTGCAAAACTTTGTTCAAACCTAAATCGTAATTCAAGTCAAACTGCAATATAGCATCTTCAATACTATATCTTAATAATTAAACACAAATATAAATTCCTGTAGTTTAAATTGAACAGATGCAGACATATTTGATATTGGTTCAGAGTAACACAGTATAAAAATGCAGTGAATGTTTGCTTGTGATCAATATCTAATCAGCCTATCAAAACTTTCCAAAGCCAAAACATTTGCTCAATAAATTAGGGACTCGGGATCTGGAAACTTACTGTATGTTCGTGCTTTTCGCAATGTTTTTATTTTCACCCTTCATCAATATTCAAGTGGTGTCTTTATAAAAAGGAAATTCTTGGCTAAGTTCCCACCCACATAGTTTGCAGTGATAAGCTCCTGACATGGTCTGATTACATGGCAGCAAACTATTCAAATTGGTGCTTGGTTGTTAGGTGTTGTCGGTGTATTGTCAAACCAATTAATCCCTAGATATCATATAATACCGTATCTATAATTATATCCCGTTTTTTTCAATAAGAAGCTATTAAAAATTAGCATAATTTTCAGGGGCATATTGCCAGAAAATTGTATCAATTAACCCATGATTAAGATCGATGTATTGCGCCCTTCTTTAGTATTTTACTCTGTCTAACCCCTGATGATTTTACAATGGGTTAAATTGTTATTAGCTTTGCTTGTTCGTGAAACTGGTGAAGCAGTTAGTAAAAGGGCTCACATTCCCATCCATGAAATCTTTAAAGCACCATGGATGCCATATATGGTGACCCGAAAAAATGCAATTTTAGCTATTGTATGTTCCAGATTTTAGGACAGCTAATTATTAGTGGGCGTTGAAATTTAATCTAAGGCATGAATTTTGACACTTACATTATTAAAATTAATTAGAACTGTTTAAGTGGAAATTTTTTTGTATGTTACCCGCTCAAAACTAATTAATATAATTTTCCACTTGGTGATGACTATATTCAAATTATTTAAATTTTTGATATGTTTCTCAAGCGGCAAACAAACTTAAAAGTATGTTTAGCGCTTTACCTGTAAAATGATGCTGAAATGAAGAGATTTTAGATGGTATACCAAAGAGAAAATGATGTCTGAAGTTCAGTAAGTTTTGCAAATACAATATTGCTGTAATGGCATTTTACAGCATCAATGATAATTGTATTTAAATGGACAATATTTAACTATTATTTTGTGTTTCTCAACTGCCAGATAGACTTAAAATGGTTTCTAACTGTGTAAACTACAAAATAAAGCTAAAAAGTAATTTTTGAGAGGAACGTCAAAAAGATTTTAGATTTTGAACATTTTTCATTGCAAAATTATGCGTCATAGAAAAAAAATGCCTCTTAATAAGAAAGCTCTGCCGGTTCACTTAGTGGATCATTGAAATAATGCACTCCCCATGCATAAGTTTTGTTAGGAAGCGCCAGCGCTCTCCCCTTGACGAGTAAAATCATCCAGCATTACACAGAGTAAGATAATAAAGTGGGGCACATCAGAGCACAATGCGATGGCTCAGTGGGTTAACTACATGTAGAGACATGGGCAGATAGGCCAGTTAACCCATTAAATGCCAGCACTCTCCACTTGACAAGTAAAATCGATTGTCTGACGTTAGACAGAATAAAATAATAAAGTAGGGTGCAATGTGACTCAATGGGTTAAACAGGCATAATATTGGTTTTACTAGACCAACTTTAATAATCTTCCATTCTTCTGGTTGAAATTCATCACTTACATGTACATTTAATTTTTGATAACTGAAAATTAAATAATTAACTAATAATTAACTATGCAGCAACCTGACTTGCCTTTCTTAACAGATGAAGTATAAAAACTCCACATAAAGTACAGTATTAAGACCATTATAAACAAACATAAAAACACAACTGATATGCTAGCTTTATTGCATACCAGCTTGCATTAAAGTGAATTATCGAGTTAAGAATGGCTTAAAAATTTCGCAGATATGAATAAAACTGACAACACAAAGCAAGTACGGCATGGAATTTTACTACAGTAACTGAAATGTTTACACTTACCCAAACCGGCACAACAATGATTAAATTATCAAAGACATCAACATCAAAACAATTATTATACAAACTTTGTTTCACGGTTGAACAGCCACTAATTCATGAAACTGCAGGCTTATTTCAAGTTAAAGTCGAGAAAAAAAACACTGTGTTGTGCTTTTGTAAACTTTTTAACGAAATTTAAAACAAAAAATTGCTGTAAAATAGCAAAATACATCCTTTCAAAATGAAAAACAATTACTTCGACAGAGCTTGTACTCGCGCATGTGCATAACGTCGAAAACCGTCCATGACTAAACAAAATGGAGGACAACTTTGCACTCCGCCACAAAATAGGAAAGTATAGCAGAAGTGTAACTTGAGTTGGTGCCTTTGTTGTTTTACATCCACAAAAAATTTAACTCGCTCCCACCAATCCATGCCATCCTGGCTAGTACAGCCGGAAAAGTTTTTATCAGGTTTTGGTAGGTACAAAGTGCCGGGTGTACTAGCCAGGATGGCGTGATTGATGACGAATTGCTTGTAAAAATGTGGACAAATACTTGCTTGAGTGAGACTTCTGGTATACAGGTACCTTCCTATTCTGTGACTCCGCTATGTTTTCACCAGTGGTTTTTACATATCCGGGTATAATTAGCCGTGCGGAATTAGCACCCTTGCACGGCGCTTCACGCCGCCGGCTCGGGAAAATGTGGAACATAACAGTACTGTTCAATTTTTTGGGCACCCAGTCCCTATATAGGGTGTACTGTATCTGCACAGATCTGTGTCTGATTTGCCACATTCATTTTGTTTCAGCTTTCAGAAATGGAGAAACAGACAATTATCCTTGAAAAGGTATAAATGGAGTTGAGAAAATTAGTCAGAAATTGATCTCTTTTTATTTTGTGGAAAAAATGCCATGTTTATTAATTTGTGTGTTTCTTAGGCCGCTCCTGATCAGGGTTTCGGTATAGCCGTATCAGGTGGGCTGGATAACCCACATTATGAGACTGGCGATACATCGATCATTGTCTCGGATGTTGTAGAAAGAAGTCCTGCAGATGGCTTACTTCGGTAGGTTCTTTGTGATGGTGTTGGTCAATCAATCGCTGCAGCATTCCTTGTCAATAATATTTTCCTGACAGTAGGCTGGGGCAGTAACTTGTCGGTAGACTGGCAAATTTGGAAAGCCAGAAAACTAATATAAAGAGTCACAAATTGCCATTCATTCACACAGTATGCAAGACCTATACGGTTCCTATATATAGATAATTAAAATGCGATCACAAAGCAGAAAGCTTCATCTGATGCGGATTCAAATAAGTAAAAGTAGAAGAGATTTATGGCCTAATGTTATTACTTTTCATATTAACAGGCCTAGGCTTTCATTGGTAGGGATGCAACTACAGTACCTGAAAAATATAAGGAGAATTTCGACATTTCAAGCGAAGGGCCAAATAACCCATTATTGCTCGAAACGTCAAAATTCTCCTTATATTTTTCAGGTACTGTAGTCGCATCCCTACCAATAAAACTTGTTAATATTATTGGCACTATTTTAACCTGTACACTGGCGCTGAGACAGTTCAAGATTACTTTTCATAGTCCATTTTTTGTCTTTGAAAATGAAGCAGGTTTTCTAATGTCAAGATGATGTGGAGAGAAACACCTTTATCATGTTTTTACGTCTGGTTTTGTTTTTTAATCCGCCCCAGCCTAACAGACAATCTATTTTTGTTGCAGCAATAATGATGTTATTCTCAGTGTAAATGGTGTGAATGTCGAAGGTGTGGAACACAGTGTTGCTGTTGAAGCATTGAAAAACAGTGGCTATTCTGTCAAACTGGTAGGAAATGGTTCATTAAAGTTTTTTCAAAGAAATATATACTTTAGGAGTCTCACAAACACATGCTGGCAGACACTTTAGGCCACACGTTTTGACAATCGATATACATTAAAGTAACATACTTTTTGTTTTTCATTCAAAAGTACATACATATTTAAGTCACAGATTTTCCTAATTCATATTAGGCATACTTGCAAAACATTCATAACTATGCACAATTACGGGAACCACAGAGTATTTTAATAAAATATAAAACAACGGTAACTCCGAAAATAAACATTTTAATATTCTACCTTAAAATTGACTAAGATTGACAGTCTTCATCAGGAATCAATAAATGATTGAATCTTAGTCAAAAGCTAGAATATTAAAATACCGTTCTTACCATTGTTTTATATTTGCACAATTCCCCCATGTTTTCTCTGCTTAAATTAAAGTCTGGTTGGTTTTCGCAAAAAGTTTTAGACATTATGTACAGTATACAGATTGTCAAGTTTTCCTACGAATTGCAGGGCAGCAGGTTCGATTCCTGCCAGTGGGCCGATAGTTGCATTTTTTACAACTGTTCTTGGGCCCTAAGAAGTATGTGAGAAAACATTTTCCACTAATTTAATGTGCCTCAGCCAGTGGAATAATAACACTTTATTATTTTCAGGTGATCTTACGAAGAAAGCCCAGCACAGCATCATCATCCCCGACCTCACCCTCGATTCCTGCCATCCAAGAACCTCCCCCAGCTCAGCATCAACGAGCTCTGGCAGAGACCAGCAAGGAACCAAGAAATGTGATGTTAAGTAAACATCCAGCGGAAAGTTACGGATTGTCTTTGGGGAGTATTTTGTTTGTGAAAGATCTGGATCAGAGAGGGCCTGCCGGCCGAGATGGACAGTTGGAGTTGGGTGATGTTATTCTCAAGGTACAGTAATACAGTAGTTTACAGTACATCATTTTCAGGCTGCCTGAGCGTGATTAGCACAACAAGATAAGTGACTAGGTTCAAGGACGGATTTTCATTTTTTTAAAAGGTCAGTGGTGGAAAAATTTCTAGTGGGGTGCGAGCAGCACCACTTTGGCAGGGGTTAGGGGTTAGGGTTAAAGACTTTCACTCCAAATAGGAGGGGTGAAGCAAAATTTTGTTGGGGTTGAAAACTTTATAAGAGCGTAATGTCGTTGATGTCACTCTGAACTTGCATATCCACACCGGGCAGGCTGAAAAGTTAGCCTGACTATGGTGGGTTAGAGAGATTCTAGAGGGGGTTTAACCCCCCCCCCCCAGTAAATCCAGCCATGACTAAGTTTCTGTTATATTATTTTGTAACAATTCGCATTTTTCCATTTAAGATAAATGACAAGAGAGTGGATGACATAAGTCGACCAGATGCTGTAAACATCATGAGAAATGCTCCAGAAAGATTAGATCTTGTTGTTCTAAGAAACAAGGATGTTCCACCAAATATGCCTGCAAGGTAATTGGTGCATAATGTGCAAATATTGCTGTACTGTAGATCCATACTGGATAATTAGTGACACCACGCAACGTTAATGCAGTATCAACGATGGTGCATCTGCGTATAAGCGTAGTATACAGTACTAATGATTCTGTTTTCATAGGTTTGCAGGAGTAAATGAATCGCTGTCGATGACGAGATCTACAATGGTAGAAAGTGCAAATAATGGTATGAATGGGCAAGGTGAGCACCAGGGGTCTACCACTCTACCTTAACTTTTTTGGCTACTAGTGAACATGTGCTAGTAAGTTTCACTGTTTCTAGCAAAAAGTGCAAAGTTACGAGCAAAATTTATCAATCTTTGCATCTATTTCATGCATATGCATTAATGAAACTGCTGGTCGTAATACAGTAGATAGCTTGCACTGAGTCTGTCTATCGTCAGAGACTTGGAAATAAAAATCTCATTTCTGAAACTTTTCTGGGATTGCTTAATAATTTACCCAAATTAAGTCCAAAGTTGCATTTTGTGAGTGTAAAATAAGATTGAGTGACTATGCAACAGTTTCACCATAAAAATCACTATTCAAAGTTCTCATCGTATTTAATGCTGTTCAAAGCACAAATATCTCACATGATTGTTTCTTATTTCAGACTTGATTGCATTTAAACAAGGCCAGTGGCAAGGTGGTGGACCAAGAGGTAGGTGCAGTACAGTAATTGCAGTGCCTTTAATGAAGTTAGGCATCGGAAGGCTTGAAATAACAGCTGATTACTGATCTGAACGGCAAGAAATTGTTTACGATCTGCAGAATAGTAGGGTTTTCATCAGAAAAAGTGGGGAAAGTCATGACTTTAACTGTTGGTCACAATGATTGGGAACTTCATATGTCCTGCATCGCATTATACTGTATTCATTGTGTGAGTTTCAGGTAGTCGGTTACGTGTTAAATGTAAAACGTAACAGAATGGTGAACATGCAGATTCGACCATCTCAAATAATGGAAATGTTGGGATAGTAGTATTGCAGACTGCAGAGCCTCTGCCAGAGGAGAGTGGGCAGTAAGGCTCCCTCACACACCATCCCGTGGAAAGCATGCACCCCTCTTTGCAGATGAGGCTAGATGAGGCTGTACACAACAGATACGCTGTATCTGGGGGAGACTAATAGTTTGCTAAACTGGCTCTAGGGCACCTAACCTTTGTGTCACAGGTTACAGGGCACTCCATTGTAGTAATACAGTATGTTTGGTTACTGATCATATTCTGCAAACAAGGTGCGGTTATCAATGGACCATTTACATTATAGACTAAATTTTGATCTAGACAGGTCTAGACAAAAATTTCATCACAGCTCGAAAGAGCGTCACAAAATTGGTAATATTCCAAAGTTTCGTTGCGAAATGTTGTAAAATGCGGATAATATATCATATATGTACTGTAGCCTTGTGAAGTTTGCCGTTTTTCAGTCATTTTGTATTACTGTACAACGGGAAATTGACAGCCCTAAAGGGTATTGGGCTGTCAATTTCCCATGCGTAAAGTTCAGACACACCGGACGCGATTCGACAATGCATTTAAATTAGATTTTTAATTTAGATTTATCTCCGCATTTTACAACATTTCGCAACGAAACTTAGTCTTTGGAATATTACCAATTTTGTGATGCTCTTTCAAGCTGTGATGAAATTTTGGTCTGGACTTGTTTAGATCAAAATTTAGTCTATAATGCAAATGGTCCATTAAAAACGATGAAATTCATACAAACAGCTAAGGGATGGTGCACACCAAACGTATTTTGTCTTTTTCATTCTCCCATTCCTCAGCCAGCCGAAACATCATATTTATCTTCAAAATTATTTGTCTTTCAGATGGAATGTGGGATAGCACGTTACGCAGCACAGCAACATACAGTATCTCGAGTGCTGGAAAGCGAAGTGACGAACGTGAACGAGACATTGATGCAAGGAGGGACAAGAAATTCCACGGGTAAGATTTTTTGCGAAAATATCACTTCAAGACTATTTGTAAAACTGAACTAAATATCAAATTTGTGTTTTAGTGAGCCACATCTTGTGTCATTCCACCGCACAGGAAGCAGTCTTGGTATCCAGGTCGCTGGAGGAAATGCTGTTGGCATCTTTGCAAATGCAATCAAGGATGGAAGTCCAGCACAAGTTGCTGGTCTCCGTGTTGGGGATCAAATTTTGTCTGTAAGTATTGATAACTAATTGATTTTGACTGGTCTTAATTGTTAATTGCTGCTAAGCGCAGTAAGGCAGCACAATATTGTTGACACTGATAAAGGTTCTCCGGAGTTCAGTCTAGGCACAGTCTTCCTCGCTATCTATGTACCATACTATATTGTTGCAATCTCGATTTTGCGTCGGTTGGATGTCTGGATGTCTACTTGCCAATTAACGAACATGGTAAACAGATGTCCATTCCAATAAGTAAATTCCAAATTAGCAAACGTAATAAATGGAAAATAGAGGGAAATTGTATGGTTGCATTATCTGGCTATCTGATCTCTTTGGACTAAATTGTATTATTTCAAGAGCATTACATCTAAAATGTATTAAGTGATGATTTCAGTGGATAGTAACTTCTAGTTTACTAATTAATGTACAATTGATTTAATTAAACGCATGTTTAATATTTTAGGCGAATGATATTGATTTCAAGGATATCACAAGAGAAGAGGCTGTTCTCATTCTTTTGTCCTTGCCTGAGGAAGTCAGCTTGCTTGTGCAGTATAAGAAATCTGGTAAATTTATTGCTTTAAGTTTGTAGACATTAGTGATTACTGTAGTTTTGTTAATTTTGTGATTGTGCGATTGTTTGATGAAAGAAATAAATCTTTGTCTTTGTAGTTTATGACAAATCCAAAGATTCACCTGGTGACTCATTTTATGTCAAGTACGTTTGAATTTGAATTTACCACGCATACCATACAGTATACAGTATATATCCAGTTATCCACCCAGAGTTAAAAGGAAACATTTAATCATCACCATCATCACCATCATCATCATCATCATCATCACCACCATCATGCCATCATCACCATCATCATGCCATCACAATTATCATGATCATGACCATTATCACCATCACTAACATCATCATCACAATCACATACACCTGTGTAGAAACTCCCCCCAAATATCATCAAATGGCTAAATTAATCTTTCATTTTCCTTAGGGCCCAGTTCCACTATGGAGGATCAGATGAAGACGAACTGTCGTTCAGAAGAGGAGAGGTCTTCCATGTACTTGATACGATGAATGGTGGTACCATTGGATCGTGGAGAGCACAGAGAGTCTTACAGAGTGGCGCTGAGACGGAAGTTGGTATTATACCAAACAAATGCAGGTACTGCATGGTCAGATTTACAGTGGCCGATTTTAGCTAGGATTTATGATTTTGGGAGTGTTTCTTAATTTCCAGTGAGTGTGCGTGTCAAATTCCAAGAATAGTCAAAACTACCATTCTAATTATGGTCGCTAAGTGTTATTTTCTGCTGGCTGAGGTACGAAAGAAGCAGAAAATGTTTTCTCACACAAGGCTGGGAGCCCGATTGTGAATCGGGTGTGTTCGGGTGGTGCAGGTTAAGACAGCAGCTCCCAGCAGTGTGTGAGAACAATCCTTTTTAATTTAACCCATTTGGAGTTCCAGCGCTCTCTCCTTGATGAGTAAAATCGTCTGGCGTCAGACAAAGTAAAATAATAAAGTAGGACACATTAGAGCGCTAAGGTTAGAGTTTTTGCATTATATATACAGTATACTGTATATATAGTACTGTATGTGCTGCAACCAAATTCCAGGCAATCACGCACGCGCTCATACCCTGTACTGTATGTTACACTCTGACGTTACAATTGTTACATAGCAAGATATTTTAAGACCAATATGTTTATCATTACTAATCAGTCACAATAAAATATACAATTACTACATAGATCTGCTTAAAAGATTGTGGTCCACGTTTGAAGCCCTCTCTTGTATTTTCCCTAGAGCTGAGCAGTTGGCCATTGCTCAGGATTTGGAAATGAAGAAGGGTGTCAATCCCAAACTGAAATCTGGAACATTGAAAAGAAAAGATGGAAAGAGTAACACTCCAAAGAAGAAGCAGTACCAAGCTGCTGATCAACTCGATGAAACATCATTCCGTAAGTAGAATACTGCACTGTATGGAACTCAGTATACTACTATACAGAAGATGGGTTTCACTAGTAGACCGTATCGCACGTTACAAGTGGGGTCACGCAAACGTTGTTGGTTTCAATGTCTTAAAGTTTTATAATTGAAACATTTTGATTTTCTAGAGCTTGATATCAAGTATCCTGCCTATGAAAGAGTTGTCAAACAAAAAGGTAAAGATATGATTCACACTATCTGTAGATCTTTCACAACGACTTAATTTATATTAGCATATATTGTGCTTGTAACATACAGTGGTGTAATGACGGCGTTTTGAAAGGTTACCATTTTGTTTTGTATTCCGTACTCAGTGGAAATTCTATAGAAGTCATCTGGAAAAAGTTTAAGAAAAGTTTTGCACATTTCCATTGTATGGAAATTTTCCAGAAAAGGCGTGGAAATATTTTAGAAACCTTAGAAATGTTTCCAGTGATAAAGTGAATAATACAGTATAATCTTCCTCCCATAGCTGGGTATGTTCGTCCTGTGGTCTTGTTGGGACCAATTGCTGATATTTGCAGAGATAAACTAATGGTGGAATATCCCGAGAAATTCACTTCACCTGGTACGTACATTATTATTTCCTTGAAATACTTCATATATATGTTTTACTGTACGTGTTTCTTTAGCCGGTCAGTCTTGAGTGTTTACCTATATATTTATCACGTTTTATTTTCTATAGCTACATTTGGTCGTTTTGATGCCAATAAACAGTCCGGAATCAAGCTCAGTGCTGTCCGAGACAACATTGCCAGTGTATGTATTTTGTGTAGTATTTATATGTAATATTAGTATGTAATATTACAATACTGTACAATGAAAATTATGAACGTACGTAAAAAGTTACAATCAGATCAAATGTATGAAACAAACAAACAAACGAATAATCTAACGAGCAACCTAACGAGCAAACTAACGAGCAAACATGATATCGTGTGTTTAGGGCAAACACAGTTTACTTGATGTCACGCCTGAAGGAGTTGAAATGTTGAATTTCGTTGGATTGGAACCAATTGTTGTGTTCATGCAGCCAAGTAATAAACAACTTATCAAGTAAGTTAGCTAAAGACAACAGAGGGTGCTTCTTTGCGCGCACTGGTCAAGTTTTACAATTTTGCTCCATTATTTATCACACGTATCTTGTAGGGACCTGCGTCACGATTTGACCAACAAAACTCACTCCGCGAGATTTGTGAAGAAACTTTACGACCAAGCTGAAACTCTCAGTATCGAGTATCCGTACTTGTTTACAGGTGAGTTACTGTGGATTTGTAACATACAGTTTATGTCTGCCCTCGTGGGAAATACAGTAGTTGGTTTTGTTTTCCCCAGAATTTTCATTGAGATTCGATGGAAAACAAAACAATTTAAAAGTTTTATGTACAAAACTGTTAGTCTGTTAATAACATGGTTCCTAGTTACTTATCAAGAAAATTTACTCAACTTCTTTGATAATCGAACACAATTTTCGAGGCTCTAATCACAAACTTTTTGTTCCAAGACCCTTAACTGAATCCTTAAAGAAAAGCTTTACTTATATAGGGGCTACGCTATGGAACCACATACCCGTCGAACTCACTAGGGCTGAATCTCTCGTTGAGTTTAAACCTAAAATTTCTTAATAATTGTATTGTCTGTAAATATAGTCTAAATATTTTGATATTTATTAGAAATGAGTTTACTAGCATACTAGGTACACGTTTCCATTGAAGAGCACTTATTTTAACTTGTGAAATGGATCTCGTGTTTTAAATAAAGATGTCAATCAATCAATCAATCAATCCGGTTCATTATTGTTGACAAGATCGTAACCTGATGTATATCTTGTGATTTAGCTGTGATTTCTCTGGAACGAAACAACAAATGGTACACAGATTGTATTGATCTCATCAAGAAACAACAGGAAGATCCTATTTGGCTGCCTGAAACGCTGGTAAGAATTTTACTCGTGAAATTTTGGAGGGAAATTTCGGCTACTTCACTGCGATTCTATATTTTCCATATTTTTTTTAAACTGTATTGAGCCACCTTCAACTCTTGGTTTTGAATCTCTCAATATAGAACCAACAGGAACAACCTCACGATGACGAAGTTGTCCTCCAAATGCCGCGACGCTCTGTTGGCTATGACATGGATCAGAGTGGGTTAGACCTCCCCGGTGATCTTGAGCGTAAACCCGAGAATTACCCCAACCCCCCTGACGAGGAAATTGTCGTGGCGGCATCCGCTTCCATGGAGCAATCTGAACAAGCCCCCGTTGTCCAGGCGTTCAGCGTCACACCAGAAGTCACGGAAAGGGATTGGCGAGAGGAAGAGGAGCGTGAATTTCAGAGAAAGCAAGAACAAGAACGAGAATTTCAGGTAGGGTTGAGTCGTAGTCGACAGGGCTCAAGGGGCTGAACTTCCCTTGTTAAAAATTTCATGCCGATTTGGGGGGCTGACCTCCCAATATTTTTGCAGATTGAATGTTCATAACGTGGAAAGTTCATTGCAGCTGTAGGGTTGAATTGATGCAGTAATGATGTTAGTAATCTGTACTTGATTACTAGTCACTTACAGCATATTGATAATCGGTAGATATCGATTGATCGGCCGAAATTGTTTAGCAGTGCTTTCATTTCCCATTGCCTGGAATTCTTTAGATTCTCGGTAAAAGATTCCTCAGATTTAGTAAAATTTCTTTAAACATGGGGCAGGCATGTTTTTTGGGAATTCATGGCCTGAATGATTGAGAATTACAAAGTTAGGTTTCCAGAATTTTTGTCTCATTTGGGAATTGGGATTTTGAGCAGCATCGCCAGAAGGGAATTCACATAGTTGGTCAAGGAATATCTTCCTTCGAAAAATTTTTGCAGTCCTGAATGCATAATACTGCATTTCCTGCGTTTTTAAAAAGTATTTTTTGCATAAATAACAGCCAAATTGACTGATTTTTTAAATATTATTTCAATATTTTCAAATATTAGATAAAAACTACAAATTCCTTAGAAATTCCTTTGAAATTCCTTAAAAGTCTCCTTAAAAACTGATAATTTCCTCAGTTTAAGGAAATTTCCTTAAAACTGAGAGCTCTGTTGTTTAGTTTATTCGGGCTTTGAATCGTCAACAAATTTATCGCTAATTTCAGGAGCGAGAATTTCTACGAAAGCAAGAAGAGGAACGAGAATTTCTACGAAAGCAAGAGGAGCTGAGAATTGAGGAGGAAGAGCGAGAGTACCAACGGCGTCAAGCGGAAGCGGACCGGGAACGAGAGAAGGAACAAGACAGGGATAGACTGGACAAAGATGAGTACGAGAGACAATTGGAGCAACGCGAGTACGAGCGAAGGCAGTACGAAGAAAACCGAAGAAGCTACGATGGTGACGAACAACGTCGTAATGAGAGGAAGCCTTATATCCCACCTGGAGTCAAGTGAGTTATACCTCGGTCTGTGTGCTTATCTTTCAGTGGGATCACTTTAAAATCGAACAGTTTAAGGACATTGGCAAAAAAAATTAGTTCAGTGCATTTGAAAGAACTCTTAAAACTATATATTAAACTGTATTACAGATTTTTTATATCTTGCTGACAGTAGTTTTCAAAATATTTCGATTGAAAAATTGAGCTTTTCGCCATCTTGGATTATTGAGGATATGCGGTTAGCGCTATTTTCCATCCAGCAAACTGACCTGACCTCATTTTCGGAAGATGGAAGAGGTGTTAACTAATGTAACTAACCCATACCCTACCCCTACTCTAACCCCTAACCGCAATCCTAACTCTAACCCTAACCCTAACCCTAACCCTAACCCTAACCCTAACCCTAACCCTAACCGAAATAATAAAAAAATCCAAAAAGAAACGACTTTAAAAAATCAATAAGGCGGTTTGCTGGATGGAAAATAGTGTTAACCAGGATATGCATGTTACGTCAAGAGAGGGGTCACGCTAATTTTATTATCTTGAGAGTAAGCGATCAATATTGGTCCAAAAATTTGTTTCTGGTTGCTCTCTGAAATTTAGAAATGATTAAGAACATTTCAAACAATTTTAGATTGTTACTTGGTTATTTTAGAGTAATATTATTATTATATGGTTAACCCAACAAACCTTAGTTAATGAGGTCAAGATGGCAAACAGCTCATTAATTTCAGTCTAAATATTTCGCGAACTAAGCAAGATATGACAAATCGGTAGTAGAGTTTAATATATAATTTTAAGAATTCTTTTGAATGAGACAAACTATTTTTTTATTGCCAATGTCCATTTAGTACGAAAGCTTTTAATCACATTACACGAAGACATATTGCACATACCAGCTACATGCAAACCTAGCTAGCGTACTATCAAAGCTAAAGCTCTCTAGAGTCTAGTGCTTAGTGAAATCCTGCACCTACAGTATACATACAGACGAATTCAATAACAGCGATATTTTTATTCAGGGTTCTGCCAGGCGCACTTCCCCCTGTAGTGCTGAAGAAAACTGATTCTGGAGGTCGCAGAAGTCCTCGGGACGAGTCCTACCAAGACGACGCTCGACCTTCCGTACAACTACGACATGTAGAACGAGATTCAGAGGCCGAGCAGTACGACGAGAGGATTGGGGTGAAGGTTTCAGATCTGTTTGATATTGGCAAAGACATTCAAGCCGGAGGGGAGTATATGGAAGATGGCAGACGTGTTGAACGAAGCGATGAACGCCGCTACAGAAGGTAGACATTAAATATTGTTGCGTTGTGTAAAACGTGGGGGCGGTTGCATCTAACACCAGACTGATAGGGGATCTGACCGGACCTCTAGGACAAGGCTGGATTTGGATTTTCACCAGAGGCATAACCAGGGGGGGGATAGCGGGGGGCGACGGGGTCCGGACTCTTCTTCGGGACCAATTTTGTAAGTCCTTCAAAACTGAGAACTGGGAGGGGGAGCGTAACCTCTTAATGTTTTAACTATGACATAAAATATACCAAATATGTGGCTTTCAGATTATCATAAATGCATGAAATAGCGTTTCGTATGCCATAAAGATAGAAAACCTTTCTAGGGAACCATGCCCCCGGACGGCTGTACGCCTCCACTTGTTCGGGGAAATACTGTACTTCCACTGTCAAGGGAGGTACTGTAATCATGCCATCTCTTCACATTTCCCCTTAAAATCCCGCCTTGTTCTAGGAATTAAGGACAGTTTAGAACAGATAGAGACGTCCAGTTCAAATAAAGTTAGTTCAGTTCTGTATCACCGTTTCCAGAGTCCAGAGGATTATAACTATATTCTTTCATACGTACGTACGTTCACTTGAAATGTTTATTTTCACCACGTATTTCTTCGTCGTAAGAAGTTCTGAATTTTTTTTTAAAAATCATCACTTTCAATTAAAGAATATTTTCACTATTGTTCCTTACCGCCTCCCCCATTTTCGCAGGTTATTTATATAGGGAAAGTGTCGACATTTTGATTCGGCCCCTCGCATCTTCATACGTGTCGGTAGATGAAAATGTTCAAAAACAGATCAAACTTTGTAAATCTCTGTTCACAAACCAAACAAATTATTTACCCCCATTGTTTGGCAAACTTAGCTAAAAATACTGTATCAACTATCAAGTCTAAAACATTTCGACCTTTTTTCTTGTCTTATCAAATAAAAAGGAAAACACTTTTAAAAATACTCTGGTTAGAATTTTCTGGGTCAGTATAAACAATAACCCTATTTGGGTTCACTTAATATTCCTCGTTAAATTTCCTGACTATTTTAACCTTTTTCCTGCTATAGTCTACTTAATTTGTCCGGAATGTCCTGGCTAAATTAATCGGTCTTTGTTACGTGGATAGTAATATACATAAAAATATTACTCGACTGTGATTGCCTGATTTCAGTGCAGTGCAAAATCTGTAACAACAGTGCAAAAATCTGTAACTAATCTGATTGGTGGGAAAAGCAATGGTTGGTTGTGATTGGTTGATTTCAGTGCAGTTCATCTCAAACAGCAGTGCAAAAATCTGCAACAAACTAATCTGATTGGTGGAAAAAACAATGGGATCTAAAATCAACCAATCAGCTTTTTCATCTTTTTTTAAAATGTAAAAAACTTCACCTTAAACAAGACTAACAAGACACGATTGAGCGAAATTTTCAAGCCGTTAGCGTTGTATGATGTGATATAACAAAGCAGGAAAATTTTGTCAGTGAACGGTTCGTTAAACTATATACAATAGACAGCTTGCATGTTAGACTAATTTTTGATTTAGGTAAAGAAAGTAAATTCCCGTAAAGAACCTATTAAAATTGGTAAAATTGCAAAATTTGGTTACGAAATATTGTAAAATACGGAAAAATATAACCTTGCGAAGTTTGCATATTTTGTATATGTTTGTATTACGTGCGGAAATTATTACAATTTTTCGTTAAAATTTTGTTACCACTCGTCCTAAATTTTGTTACCACTCGTCCTTCGGACTCGTGCTACTTTGACACTCTTTGAAAAACGCACTCGTGCATATTTTATTCATATTGCACTCGAAACCATACTATTACCTAATACCTATACTAACCGGGAAATTCTAACCACAGTGTTTTTAGAGTCCAGAATAAAGTCGTTGTGTAACCTTACTAATAAACCCTGAAATTTAAAAGGTTATTAGTACTGCAACATTAGGTGTTTCGACCTTCTGTATTTTTTACGAAATGAAAAGAAACCCTTGTGAAATCGTAACTGTATAACACTTCAACCGCCTTTGCAGTGACAGTGATGACGACGAAGCGGGATTTTCTCGCGACCCGCGGGAATCTCGCGTGACTGACACGCAAGACGTGGAGAGACGCGGCGAGCAAATAAATGAGGAGCTGGTGCGGACTACCGTGAAACCAGTTGAAGCGGGCCCAGTCGATTTTGAAGATGTGTTCAGGTAGATTGACGCGCAGTCCTGAGACCTAGACTCGCTTCGGTGTTAAAGATTGGCTGTTTTATACATTGAAATTATTTTTACAATTCCGAGGATGGATGTTAATGGATCATTTGGGTGGTGAAGACAGATGAGAAAAATTGAGTGAAATGTTTGATGGTAGAATGTGATATGTTGTTTTAAGAGGAAATTTTTTGTATGTTACGTAACACGCGCTAAAAACTAATGAATATGATATTCCAACTTGGTTTTGACCAGTTTTGATATACGTTTCTCAATCGGCAAACAAACTTAAAAAGTATGTTTATAAAATACTGCTAAAATGAAGAGTTTTTAGATGGTACAACGCCAAAGAGAAAATATCTGATGTGCAGTAAGCTTTACTTATATTGCTGTAAATATATAGCCTCAATTCGAAAGCACCATTGATGACAATTTTTAACTATTATTATTTTATGTTTTTCAACCGGCAGATGCATTTAAAAAGGTAGCTAACTGTATGAACAAGAAAATAAAGAAACGCCAAAAAGACTTTTTCCATAAACTACATTTTCAAAATCTCCGAACCCTTGAACTGATTGCGAAGTCCCTTTAAAGTCATGAAATTTTTTCGAAGTTCTGTTTGTTTAAAATTGGCAGTTTAAAATGACACTAAAAAGCCAATATAAAATAAAAAAAACTTAACTGTATATTGTATAACGAAATATAAAAAATATTCACACGGCTCTTAAAATACATTTAGGCGGTGATAAGAATCACGGAATTAATTTTACGTGGCCTAATCGCAAGATAGTACGCGACATAGAAAAAATTGCCTCTTAACGTTAATTGTGTGAGTTGTATATGTGGTTATTTGTTGCTTTTTGCGGCATCATGATTTATTGATTGTTAATATTGATTGATCAAACTATTTTCAACAACAATTTCTAAATTGATCATATAATGATTTTACTGATTACGTTAATGCTCAAATCACCAAATCAATCGTATAATTGATTAATATTTATTGTGATTTAAAGTATTATTAATGAAATACATACATATTATAGAAGAGTCAATCATTAACACTGAAGTGTTGCAATTAAGCGGATATTAAGTTCAAGTGCGTCAGGTTAGCAAATTTATTGCGTTGCCCGTGGCTTATGTTGGCAAGGTGACGAAACTCGTGCAATAATGCATTTGGCTATGTTAATTCCGTTTTAAAGACATTCACATTATGCATTCACTTCACATCATTCCATTCTATCTAGTAATCCTATGTCGCCCAACAAACAGCATGAATTCACATTGTGCATAATTACTGAACAATATTTGAACAGGAAGTTCGAGTCACTAAATATGAGTGGAGCTTCTCTTGATATTGTACACCAAGACATTGAGAGTAAAAAATTAGCCTTTTTAACAGCTTTTCGGTAATTTCATAATGCATGACTAATGACCATTTGCATTATAGACTAAATTTTGATCTGAACAAGTCTAGACAAAAATTTCATCACAGCTTGAAAGAGCATCACAAAATTAGTAATATTCCAAAGTTTCGTTGCGAAATGTTGTAAAATGTGGATAATATAACCTTGCGAAGTTTGCCGTTTTTCAGTCATTTAGTTGCATTACGCGGGGGAAATTGACAGCCCAATACCCTTTGGGGCTGTCAATTTCCCGTTTGTACTTTGTAATACAAAATGACTGAAAAACGGCAAAGTTCGCAAGGCTATATTATCCGCATTTTAAAACATTTTCGCAACGAAACTTTGGAATATTACTAATTTTGTGATGCTCTTTCAAGCTGTGATGAAATTTTTGTCTAGACTTGTTTAGATCAAAATTTAGTCTATAAAGCAAATGGTCCATTGACGATTATGCGCTGCGATACCCATCTGTCTATGCGTATCAGTGTAATTTCCATATGCATTCACATATACATTCACAACATACATTCACCTCTATCACCGCTTAACAAATTTTACATTATTCCTTGACTAATTCTCTCCTCCATTATCTATAGTTCTCAACAGACTACGAGCAATCGTTCTCAGACCACGACAGAGTATAGGACTAGTTACCAGGTTACGAAGCAAGCACGAAACACGGTTGTTGACACTCGTGGCGGACGAAGAGTTGAAGGTGGTGTATTCAGCGAGTACTACCCTGGGCGCTCACGTGCTAAGATTGTGAATATTGATGAGGAGAAACAAGGAGGATATGTGGGACGTGAGGAACCTCAAGTGAAGGTAAGGGATATACGAGGGCCTACAGATACGTAAGCAAGTAATTGGGGGTGTACGAAGGATGCAGCTCAATCTGATCAAGTCGAAGGCTCTCTAAAGCCTGCTCCTCATTACGACGCAAGCATAATAAACATAAGCACAAACATAAGAGGGATCAAACGTACTGACTTCTTATGCACTGTCCTCAATACGACGCAGCATAAACATAAGCATAAGAATATCAAAACGTTGCTTTAATTGTTGGCAGTATTTTGGATGCGCAGTAGAACCGTGACACTGCCCCTTTAATGCTTGAGCTTTATCTTGCGTTGTAGTGAGGAAAACACAAGCATACAAACACCTTATAACTCATGTCTGATCACTGACCACAGCTACCTTTCTCTTTTCAGTTCTACAAATAATTCGTGTTCGATCTTGTCCGATCACCACGTAAATTGGTCTGACATATTGTCGGACGACGTTTTTCGAATCTTTAGATAACGGATGAAATAGATCTAAACGTTGTGTCTGAAAATGTAGGAAATCAATCCCGAAAGGCTAAAACATTTTCCGAGGCTTCGGTGGCGCAAACGTCAAAGAAACACATTTCGTCACCTCTGGGAATCGTGGTTCGACTCGCACTCCGGGCTCAGGACATTTATGTGAAAAGAGTCTGTCAACGCTCTACCTAAAGTCGTGGTTTTTTTTTCGGGTTCCTCCCACATGGGAGTGTTGACAGGGTGGGTTGGAATTATCCTTCCACCGTAGCTGTGCTCGTTGGTCAGACATGAATCACAAGGTGGATCCCAGGGGCACCCTTAGTCCTTAGAAAGCCTTGGACTTAAACAGGTTAAGCTGCGTCCTTCGCAATTCAGCTGGGGAGGGGGTAGACCCCTACAACTTTGCGCTTTTCCACTTCATAACCTCCTAGTTAGATTCATTTTCCTTACCCCCCCCCCC